TTAGTGTTTGACATTATTTAAAGTACACAGTTATTGGACTGTGGTGGTTCTGGATCTACTGTTGAAAAAAGTATTTTGTACATGGGCTAAATCATGATCTGAGGTTGCTTTTTGCTCAAATTAAGGGAAAAAACAAGAGAAACGTGACCCCCACACACCCTCCCAAAAGAGGAATTACTCCTTTGATCATGGAAATCTATTTGAGAAGTAATGCTTCAGTGGGCAGCCATTACTGAGGGATTATTCCCTTCAAACCCCTAGTCTGTTTTTCCCCTGTTCTTGGGTTCTGGGACTCAGCTGAAAGACAAAGGAAGTCCTGAGATGGAAGAAAGCAAAAGGAGAGTCAGATCTGCCTTTGTCTTTTGCCAAGTACAATGATTAATTCTTTTTCATTGTTTACACAAAGAGACATGAAATTACAAAACCTCTGAATTGTTTTTTAAAATCCAATAATAAATTTTTACTAAATGAAGTCTTTCTCTGTTTTTAAATAGAAGATTGACATTAAAGTAAATTTGCAATTCCTGAGTGCAAAAAAAAGAAAGCTGAATTTAATTTGTGGGAAAGTTTTGGTAGCTGACATTTAGTTTTGTTCAGCTGATGGTTCCTTCTCTGTAGATGACCCTTCCCTCATTTTTGAAGGGTTTTCAATGACCTTGTCTTACATCCAGGAAAGTAAGTGCTAAGCATAACCTCTCTGTGGTTACCTCTGAGTCTTAACAAAAGAATTAGAACTAAATATGTTTTCATCGTCTTTATTGTCAGCCATTATAAATCTTTGTTTTTCTTCATATGCCTTGGATTGTTTCTAAGGAAAGCAGAAGCTGTTAGAAAGGATTTAGGATATGGCAATGATGGTGCTGTCTGACAGACTTACACAGGTTTTATCAAGCTCTTTTGTCAGTTTGGTTCATGGTTTATCTACAGTATGGGGAACAGTTGGCTTCTGAATGCTGGAGTTAAGGAAGCAGCATTTTAGTGTCCTAGGTATAAATGCTATGACTATAAGCAATTGCAGAAAAGACAGCTTTAAATTTAAATCCAGTAGTTTTGCATTTGTTTCCTCATCCTGGTGTTGGTGGAGGAGCCTCTGCAGAAAAGTGAGTAAGTAGTCTGTTTTAAAGGCTGGGCTTTTCAGCCCTTTGAAAACTTGCCCCCAGGTGGTTTTCATTAGAATGGCAAATTCCTATCTCAAAGAATGGCATTCAGGAACCTGCCGAACAGGCCAAGCTCTGCCCTCAGATTTCAGCGGGATTGCTTAGAGCAGTTGAGCTTTATCATATATAAATGCCAGAAGGGCAGAGATTTCCCAGAAGCAGAAGGTGTGGTTGGAATTAAATCCTGCAATTGCTGCTCAGCACTAGGGGCTGAGTACTAGAAACCTCTCTGCCACTTTTCCTGTTATGAATGTACACAAGGCCACTGGAGTGGCACACATTAGCTCTGTTCAACTTCACTGGTCCTTCCAGTAGCTGGATTTTCCAGTGTTCCATAAGGAACAAAAAAATGTAGATGTATTTGCTTGAGGGTTTTATTCTTTCCCCCTCTCAGACAACTTCATTGACTTGGGTGGTCTTTGTGGAAGTATCATTGTAAGAAACTATTACCAGCCATGCTATCAGTGCAGCAGAATTTATGATCTGAAGGTTGGGTTTCCCATTAAAGGCTTTGTGTGTAGCTAGAAATGTATTCTTTTTTTCCAGATGAAATATATGGAATGTGTTACAAATACTCTCTAAGCACTCAGATATTTCAGCGTGCTTACTGCCAGTTTTTCAGAGACGGCGCTTTTTGTAGAAGGTTTTTATCTTGAGGAAGAAGGGTATGATATGAACTTGGATGGGAGATCTGGAGGGGCTTGCTTGAACCCGGTATTACCTGAACTGACATAAAGCCTTGCTGCTTTTCTGCATGTTGACAAAAAGGAATCTTAAGCAATTTCAAAAACCTGAAGAACCTGCTAGAACTCTGGAGAACAAAGGTGACGGAAGACTTGTTCAAGAACATCATTTTACTTACACGGCTGCCTTTCTTTCCACAGCCAGTGGTTTAGCGTACTGAGTCAAGTTCATGCATCCACAGAGCAAGAGATCCGAGAGATGCATGATGAGCAGGCAAATCCACAGAATGCTGTGGTAAGTCTAAATCTGAAGAACTTTTCAGAGCAAACAGTTTTAGAAAACAGGGGCACCGTGGTGGCAACAGCTTCTGAGAGTCACAACCTAGGATTCCTTACATGTGGTCGTAGCTGTGAGGCTGGCTAGAGGCTCCATACCCTTGGTCCTGTAGATATGCAAGAAGAGAGTGTGACTTCTGATTCCTTACCCATCATTCATCTTGATGAAAAATTAGTATTATTTTAGGGGTGTTTTTTTATGGTCCAGCTCCCTACCAAAACAGAGTTTGTGCTTGAGCTTGAAGTCTTGCAAAGTTACAGTTAATGAGTAAAATAAAAGCACAAGAGTTGAAAATCTGAGGTTTTTCTGGTCCTGCGTATAAACTGCATTTATTATTCTGTACGACATACACTGGGAATAAGTGGAATGCATTTGGAACCTAATATCAAACAAGGAGAAATAAAAACTTCTGCTTAATGGCTTCAGAAGTTTGTTCTGAGAGGATGCCATTTACATCGGGATGGTACTTCTAGGTGAAACATTCAAACAGGTTTGGAAGCATAGAAAAGTAAGAGCAGTTTTTGAGCTGCCATCAGCTTAACTAGAGGTAATCTTTTACTGGAACTATTTATCTGAGTTTCTTAGTTTTACCCTTAGCAATTTTAATGGTTAAGAGAAATTGATACCCAAATCTGCATTTCATTTAGCTGCTGCTCCTTTCACCCATCTCTGAGAAGAGTACTGTGAGTAATGTAATAGTAAATGTCTTCCTCCTTTTCTGACTGGGTGTTTATAGGGTACGCTTGATGTAGGACTGATTGATTCTGTCTGTGCTGCTGACAATCCAGATAGGTAAGTCAGAACCATGCCTTGTGACTTTCTTTTTCCCCTTTCTCTAGTCAAAATTGGATGCTTTATAATTTAATCTCTATATTCTACTGACCAACCATGCGTTAAAGTCATTCATTATTGCTTCCCTTTTCATAGTACTAAACACCACATGTTAAAACATGGAATAGCAATCACAGAATCATAGACTGGTTTGGGTTGGGAGGGACCTTAAAGATCATCTAGTTCCAATCCCACTACCATGGTCAGAAGCATCTTCCACTAGACCAGGTTGCTGAAAGCTCCATCCAGCCTGGCCTTGAGCACTGCCAGGGATCGGGCCGCCACAGCTTCTTTGGGCAACTTGTGCTGGTGCCTCACTATCCCCATAGTGTGAAGAATTTTTTTCCTAGTATCTAATGTGAATCTGGGGCTTCACTAACTTCCCTGACACTGCTTTGTAAATGAGCTGTTCAGTTACTAAAGTGATCCAAAAATGGAAGGTTAAATATTTTTTTCATTTATACAAGTAATGCTCCTGGGAAAAAAAGCAGCTTATTTTTGAGTCCTTTAGCAATACAGTAGGCAAAAAAAAATCATTTTAACATTTTTCTGTTCAGCTTCTCATGCAAGAATGTTGTAGCCTATAGTGATGAGAATTATTTCCCAGAATAAAAATGTCTTGTAACAAAGAAGACAATGCAGCATAAAAAATAACTGTCAGGATATTCTTAGTTCTTGAACTAGCCACAGTGTTTTGGGGGATAAAAAGTAATCTAGATTCAGTCAATGACTCTACATATAAGGTTACTGGCTGTGAGGTGCTGTTTGTACAGTAGGAGTTCATCCCAGTCTCCTCATTGCACATGTGTGAAATAGCTGAGTTTAAGTTACTGGTTTGTCTTTGGCCTCAACGCCACAAGTGACAGTGATTATAAGATGAGGTTTCCTAAACAATAAAACACAAATGTCCAGAGCTTTCAAAATTTTAAGTTGGAATGGCATTTCTCCTGTAAGCATTTTTCACACAGATTCTTTTTCTTGGGTTGGGTTTGACGGGTTTTTGTTGTGTTTTTTTTTTAGTTCTCTGAATCTAAATCAGTGATAGAAGGTTTTTCAACTAGGAAACTAATCTGACTGATTATTTTTATCTTAACACATATAACTCACTAGTGGAAGCTCAAAGGAGGGAAGCTGAGCAGAGAGCCCTGTGAACCTGTGTTCAGAATGAATCCCAAGAACAGGGCTTCTGTAATTTTCCTAAACTGAGGAGAAGGAGAAGGGAGCCTGAAAGGTTGGCTTTTGTTGGTCATAATCTCCTAATAGTTTGATCTACCCTTGCTTACACCTTAGAGCATGGGGTAGCCTGGACTGCATTGTTCCCATTTTCTACATCTCACAGGTCTAAAAATCTGTGTGTTCCAAGATGAAAAAACTAATGGTAAAGGGTTAAAGCAAGTGTTCATAGGCTGAAGAACCTGCCTGTCTAATCCAGAGAGCCATCAGCACAGTTCACTTGGGCTAGTTCTTCATGCTTCAGTGAATCCTGGTGTAGGATTGGGTAAAAGCCAGACTCATTAAAAATAGATTATACTCTTTGTAAATTGTAGTTTGTTTTAGCTAATGTAGCTACCGAAGCAGACACTCTAAATAGGCCTGAGCCTGAATTAGAGTTCTGATTCACATACAAAGCTGATTAAAGATTGGAGGGTTTTCTCACCATAGATTTATTTTGAGATACGACAAGTTGAAATTTAATGTAAACTTTCCCACCATTCAAAGCCCTGGCATTTTGGTGTGAATCCAACATAATCAAGTTTTTTCAAATGCCTTTTACTTTTTTTTTTATTTTTTTTTTATTTTTATTTTTTTTAGGTTTAGTGGTGTTGAAACAAATGCTTTAGAGGTGGATGGATTTTATCTGAATAGATAATGTAGACAATGGGCAGTATTTATGGTTATGATGAGTGAGGTATAAACAGCATGTATGTTGATTGTAAAGGCTTTTTCAATCTTTTTTTTACTTTCATAGGCCAAATTCATTTGTGATCATCACTGCTAATCGTGTTCTTCACTGTAATGCCGACACTCCTGAAGAGATGCATCACTGGATAACCCTGCTCCAAAGGTCAAAGGGGGACACTAGAGTGGAGGGACAAGAATTCATTGTGAGGGGTAAGAACAGAGTGGGGCAGTAACAAAGTAAATAACATCTATTAAGGTTCAAAGAGATTGTTCCCACAATACAATCTGGATAATGTGCCAGCACAGGAGTGTTGGAGCCTCATCTCCACGTATGGTGGAGTTTACTCACAAATTAATATAGCTGAAATTATACTCCTGTTGTGCCATGTAAGAAAACACTGTAATGATGACAAAAGCGTTTTTCTAGGCTGACAAAAGATTTATTTTTTTTTTTAATAAAACTTTTAGCTACCTAATTTTGTTCAACTCTGTTTTAAAAACTGTGTGATTCAAATTGTGTCTTTACCAGGATGGCTACACAAGGAAGTAAAGAACAACCCGAAGATGTCTTCATTAAAACTAAAGAAGCGTTGGTTTGTTTTGACGCACAATTCTTTGGACTACTACAAGAGTTCAGAGAAAAACGCTTTGAAATTGGGTACACTGGTTCTGAACAGCCTCTGCTCAGTAGTCCCACCTGATGAAAAAATCTTCAAGGAGACAGGTAATCACTCTTCTTCAAATATGCACTCAGATACCTTCTATCCTACTACTTTGCTTAGTCATGCAACAAACAGTGCATAAGAATTTTTTAAATGGATTATTATGGTTGCAGTTTGATGAACAAATAAAGTTCCTAGGTTACTGAGGCATTTTACATGGAATTCTTGTGGAAAACAGCAGTGGTAATGTGTATGGGAGTAAAATCTGTTCTTGCCAACATCCAAGTTGTCATAGACTGACACTGCTGCTGAGTTAGTGTGAACACTTGCATTTACACATCAAAGACCTGAGGAAAGACAAGAGCAGCACTCTCCTCATATACTATTTTATGTGCTGAGGAACTATGAGGACTAACTTTGGTGGAGCAAGTTATAGGGACATCTAGGGTAAGAGTCCTCTTTGTGCTAACCTACATGCTGTACCTGACATGACAGCTCTGCTGTGCATTTTCAGAGCTGGTTTTCAACTTGGAAGTGGCTATTTGCAAATAACAAGTGACTGTTGACAGTCCTATATAATCTCATTGGGGTCACTGACACTTCAAAGAGGCTTTTGCTAGTGAAAGATGAAAACGATTTTCTTTAATTGCTTCTGCTTCATAAAAAGCCCATACAATGATGCAGAGGGAGAATTTGAACTGAAATGATCTTCCTACCATAGTTGTCACATCACTGGTGTGAAATTAATGAATTTTACAGAAGAAGTAGTTGATGCTTTATACCTGTTTGTATGTGTGCCACAGACTATGAAAGACTCTTGTGTACAAAGCAAGACTCAGTTTTTCCTGTTACAGATAGGGCTGGAGAAGTAGGGCCCATAAGCCACAAGTAGCTAACAGTATTCCATAGTGTTGTCTTATGATCACTTTTGCTAAGATTTCTGGATAAAACAGGAGGCTGCATGATGGTGATTGTACTCTGATATTACTCCTAGGCCTTTTTGAAGGAATGAATCTCCTTTAACACCACAAAATCTGTATTATGATACTTAAGTACTCATGCAACTTCTTAGTTGCTGTACAACTGCCAACATGATGCACAATATAGTATTTGGTGTCTAAAGGAACTACAGTTGTTTTCAGATAGAATTTGGGGTATTTTTAAAGATATGGCTTCTATGATTAATAATTGTTACTGTTGTGCTAGGTTATTGGAATGTAACTGTATATGGACGCAAACATTGTTACCGTCTCTATACAAAATTGCTTAATGAGGCAACCCGCTGGTCAAGTGCCATCCAGAATGTAATTGACACAAAAGCGCCAATTGATACCCCAACTCAGCAACTTATTCAGGATATTAAGGTAGGCACAAACAGGAGGATGTGGGTTGGGAAAGAATGGTTGCTTAAATCCTTTTTATGTTGGCTTTGGCGTATTGGGCCATAAAGCAGAAAACTTTCGCACAGTGGCATGGACTGAAATTGTGGAAACTGAATGTATTCGCTGACCTGATAAAGGAATTTCTATCTAAAAAGAGCAAAGTATGAAGGGCAACATGGAGGGCAAGAAGGGGAACTTTTTTCCATGAAAACAGTAACAAGTTTTACTGGTTTGTGTAACTTGACGGAGGTTGCTATACCTGGCAGTAGAGCATAGTGTGCAGGTTCATGAGTTAGCAGACCTGTTTGGCCATGTCCGCAGTGAGCAGCACACCAGGATGTGGACTACACAGCTCTTGTGATTTATTTTTTATTTATGGTTCTTTTCTTCTTCTGTGATATTATGAGCTAAGCATCTCATGTGATGCTCATCTGTGTGATGAGAAATATACTCAATTAATGGTTACTGCTTTATGGTCCTGTTGGAGATACTGCATGCATAGGCAGAGAATGTCCTTCTGGAGATCTCTGCTAATGTGCAAGAGGGGAGAACTGCTACCAGCCTTTTCCCTTAAAGTGCCACCTCTTCTCTCATGGAAAAGAATCATCAAGTCCTAAATTCCAAGACTACAGATGCTGTTCTTCAGATCAGTAGACTGGGAGTTCACAGTTGATACAAGGTAGTGGTCACGCATCTGTCAAACTTGGCCAAAGAACAGAATTTAGATGTCAGAGTGGGTACATCAAGTTTACAACAGCAGTTTTTCTGGACTATTTTGTTATGGTAGCTACTGTAGATTCTAACTGAAAAGGCCAATTAGTTATGCTGGAGAATTTATTTTTTTTTTTTTAATAAAACTTGAATACAGATATTTTACTCCCGTATTTCATAACTTAAAATTAAAATAAAATTAAAAATTAATGTAAAATGAAAACACGCTTAAAAAAAAATTATGAAACTGTTAATGCTGGACCCAAAATCCTACTTTGTCTCTTACCCCAATAGGAAAACTGCCTGAATGCTGATGTGGTTGAACAGATTTATAAGAGAAACCCTATTCTCCGCTACACTCATCATCCGTTGCACTCACCATTACTGCCACTGCCATATGGGGACATCAATCTAAACTGTAAGTTTTTAAATCATAGAAACACTTTGCCTTATAAAAACCTAAACGAGAGGATGGGATTTTTTCTCAGTGGGCTATAGCGAAATAAAAGTAAACAAAATACATGTTTGTAACAGAAATAGAGAGAGATTTCCCTGTTCTTCGCTGGGAGGTAGGAAACAGCAGTTTGTCTAGCACAGATCAATGTGCTTGAGGTGCTCCTGCACACGTGTTACAGAAGGTTGCTTTTGCTGCTGTAATATAAGTTTGTTACCCTCAGCAACACAGCTAAGAAGACTTGAGTTTGAAAAGCCTTGCACTGAAATAAGCAGCTGAACCAAATTAATTCAGTGTCCTTGAATCATACTCTCCTCAAATCATTGTTGCTTCCTACCTATTTGAGGAGCTGCAGCAGCCACAACTTTCAATTGACAAGTGTGAGTTTCATCACTTGTGATGGGAAGCATTATTTATGGGAAACAACATTTGAGTGCGCATGGTTTTAAAAAGTAATGGTCCATTTACTCCTGAAACAGGTGTAATCATGTCTTCTAATATCCTTAGTTCAATTGCTAACTTAGAAATCTGTTTTGAACGAATCATTCAGAGCTATTGATGGTTGTGAATTTGGTGTCTTCAAAAGAATTTGCTTTTGTGACTGTATGTTAAACAAGATATGACTTAAATCAGAAGTTTCATCCTTGAGATGAGGGTAGGAGTTGATTAAAAGCTAAGTCATTCCAAGTAAGACTTCCTGGTAACTCAAGTGATATCCTTCTGCTCAAATGACAAGGAAAATCCAAACAGAAACCTTTCCCTTCTCTTCCCCCTCCTCCTTTGTGGCAAGGCACAGTTCTGATCTTCTTGGCATTTCAGCAGGTTGTCCCACAGAGGAGTGTAGCATGGTTGCTCTTTATTTCACATGGACAGGAACATCTAGCTCCCTCTGAGGTGGAAGTCCTACCTAAATCTTCCCAATATGAAATGTAGCTCCACAGATGGCCTGATGCTTAGTTATTGCCTTGACTTGCAGTTGAATTCTAGTTATTTTCTGTAATAGTATGCCAGGTTAGAAATTTTGTAACATGCATCTGTACTGTTCTGTGCTTTGATGGTTGGTAGGGCTGAGTGATTCAGACATCAGAACAATCTATTCCATCTCTTGAACCCAAGAACTGCATGGTTCTTTTAAGTAGACTATAAAGTTGTTAGCCCATGTTGAATAATCTGGAGTACAAAAACAATCATCGCCTTTTCCAGCACTCAAAAAGCAAGTCAGAAACATAGCAATGATTTAGTTTAGTAATATTGGTTGGGTTTAATTGAAATGCTACTGCTGTAGACAGGAGTGACATCATGTATCTTTGTAACTTTCTGTAACACAGTCATGCTTTACTTCACTTATGATCTGATTAGGTTTCCACTTTGTTGTGACAGCGAGGAAGGGATAGGCACTCTGGAAGGAAGATTCTCCATCAAAAAAACTCCAGTCAAGCAAGACAGACTTTTTAAGTTATGTTGTCGAAAATGTCAAAGTGGGATTTCATTAAATTCAGAACAAATCTCAATAGCATATTAATCCATAAAATGAGTATGCATCATACATTTGAAATGGAAAAGACCCATTCTAACATCTTGCGTAATGAGGGTCACAGAACAGCATTAAGCAATTCCTATATTAAGCCTGAAAGCTTTCCTTGCTGTATCTCAGTCTAAACACCTTCTTTTTTTTTTTTTTTTTGTAGTGCTGAAAGACAAAGGCTACACAACTCTGCAAGATGAAGCCATCAAGATATTTAATTCTTTACAGCAGCTGGAGTCTATGTCTGATCCCATCCCTATAATCCAAGGTATCCTCCAAACAGGACATGATTTACGACCTCTTCGAGATGAGCTCTACTGTCAGCTCATCAAGCAGACTAATAAAGTGCCTAACCCTGGGAGCGTGGGGAACCTCTACAGTTGGCAAATACTCACCTGCATGAGTTGCACATTTCTGCCGAGTCGCAGCATCCTCAAATATCTGAAGTTCCATCTCAAAAGGTAAGAACCTTTGAATTCCTAAAGCAAGAAAAGAAGTTTATTCACCCACCATTCTATTCACCACAACTTGTAACAGTGTTTAGATACCTATCTTGAAGTGAGACTTGAAGGTGCATTCACTTTGTGAACTAATTATGCCAAAAAATGAATCTAAAAAGAAGTTGTAGTAAATGTGTGCATGAGTTGATCTAGGTAGAATTGTTCTCATTTGAAGAATCAAACAACATCCCACAAAATTAAGTGTGCAATTTGCTACTGTTGACAAAAGGGGAGCTTTCTGTAATTGTATAAAATTGCTTAAATGACTTTCAGCCCATGCCCCTAGGTCCCATTCTCAGCTGTCCAAATCAACCTGCTAAAAATTCTTTATCCTGCTTACCTTAGTTTTATGAAATATGCATCATGCACATAAAAGAACACTATAAAGATGTATTTGAGGTAAAAATGTCTGTTTGCAAATCTAATTCAAATCTAATTAACCAGAATGTGGAGTTCCTCTTGCTGTGATGCAGCAGAAGAATGAAAAATGTGTCATTAGTAAAGTTAGTCCACTAACAACAAACTATTCTCAGTAATTTAAAAGCTTTGTCTGTATTTTTGGCAGAGCATGGACTTTTTCAATCACTTTGCTAAATCTGATATTTTATAAATATTTGTAAAATGCTTGTATTGAAGATACATCATTCAACCAAAGTAAGATCAGTGAAAAAATTTCACATCATATTATATTGTTAAAATTCTGTTAAATTGTTAAAATGAAAAATCCAATACTGATTACTTTTTCAGTTTACTTCAGGTCACAAACTGGCCTCCTAGTTAAAAAAATCGTAGCTGATACAACGTTTATAGGTTGATTTCAATATTGTAGATTGCATCTTACAGCATTTCTGTAATACTGCAATCTTTTTATGCCTTTTAGATCATGAATCACTGTCCTTCTTCACAACAATTAAGCCTTAGTAGCTCTTAAGAATCTGGTATTTTATCACTGGCAGTATCATAGAAACACTGTATTGAAAGCCACCCAAATTCAACAGTTTTCAATAACTGAGTTAATTAAAATTGTGAGTACTAACAACTTTAATATAATACTTATTAACTGCTGAACAGTAAGGTCGAGAGAGAATCTCTAAGAAAATCAGGATAGAAATCAAGTATCCTAAGTGACACTACCACAAAGTGGCGCAGTCAAGTATGTTTTATTGCTTTTTGGTTTAGCACCTTAGTGCAGTTTAGTCTTCATACAAGAACTGTTACTGACAAAAAGTGGAGTTGATTACAAGGAGATTTTCATAGTTTGTTTTCTCTCAAATCTGAGTCATTGCAAGATTCCTATAGCTAATGATAAAAGTTCACTTTTTTCTTTCCATTAGGTTTGTAGAACAAAATGCTGAAAGTATCTAAGTTATCCCACAGTACATCACAAAAGTTAAAACACTTTCCTTGACAGTGGAGATAAATCTTTGACCTTGTCAATAAAATAGCATACTGGATACAGAAGTACTTTCAGGAAAAACAAACATTCTCAAATAAGAAAACTTTCTATTTCACAAACTGGCAGCTTAAAGTAGTTATATTTGTCTCATAGGGTTCGTGACCAGTTTCCAGGAACTGAAATGGAGAAATATGCACTTTTTACTTATGAATCTCTGAAGAAAACCAAATGCAGGGAGTTTGTACCATCGCGGGATGAAATAGAAGCTCTGATCAGCAGGCAGGAGATGACATCCACAGTTTATTGCCATGGTGGGGGCTCCTGTAAGATTACAATCAACTCGCACACTACAGCTGGAGAGGTGAGAGTGGTGACGGAACAGCTTTGGCACAAAATCAGTGTGTCCCTTTACGTACTCATTCCAGACAGCAGTGTAGCATTAAACTTTGAAAACACTCGGGGCGTCTCTACTGGTCACTCCTTTCAGGGGAGGAAGGGCTTACAGAGCTGTTCCTCCAACCCCTCCCCCCCCCCAGTGTGTTCTGAAGAAATTCCTGCTATATAAACTGTCTTTATTCTGCAAAGAATTACCCAACTCTAGTTCCCTCTTACAGGAAAAACTGCAGGAAAAACTAAGCAATTCAGTAGAAGCATTACTGGAATAACTTGAGTAGATACTAGTGTGTTTGACAGCCAAGTTGCTTTCTAAAACTGGAACACTCTTGCTGGGTTGGTGAAATACAGGAGTTATATGAGGCTAGGTGATAGCACATACATATTCTGAAAGAATCAACATTATTTAGTATAAAAATTAAAGTGGGATTTGACAGCAGGTAATACTGCTGATGAGAACATGTTACCAACATTTTTAGCCTAATGTAGAATCTAGCTCTGAATTTTCTTCTAATTATTTGTCTTACTTTGTGGTGCTGCTTTTCCGTGCTATGCTTTTTTCATGTGCTGTTTTTCATTAGGTGGTTGAAAAGTTAATTCGCGGCTTGGCCATGGAGGATAGCAGAAACATGTTTGCTTTGTTTGAATACAATGGAACTACAGATAAAGCAATTGAAAGCAGAACCATTGTGGCTGATGTCTTGGCAAAGTTTGAAAAGTGAGTATGCCTCTGCTTCTCTCTCTCCACTCTAACAAGTAGCAATCAAATAAATTCAGCATTATTGACACTGGAAATTTTCTCTTGTTTGTTTGTGATGATGCAGCTGAATGACACACGTGGCCATTTCTGGAACAAAAGCATCTTTGTTTTTTTTCATGAAGGAATTAATGAGCCACCTATTTACTTGTGTTTGGTTTTTCTGTGTCTTGACACCAGCAGAGTGATATTTATCATCACTATTTTATGCACATTTTCTTTTCTACTACTACAAATATTTCGACCATTACTAGCGTTGTGGCTGCCCCAGCACTGGGAGAACTGAACTCCAGGCAGTCATTGCCAACCTTAATACCTATTACCTAACTTCACATGGAAGTCACCACAGTATGGTTCACATTTTTCATACCAGTAAAACTGAAACCACCCATAGAACTGTAGTAAGAAAATGTAATACAAGTCTGAATACCTGTTCGTCATCCTTACGTTACGTGCATGGTAATCGGCCTCATTTGTCTACATAATAATGGAGGGAAAAAGGAATGTCTGAATTGTTGTGCAATTACATTTTATAACAGGACTTAACAGTGTTGTTTTTATCAACCCCTGACTGAGCCACAAATGAAAGTTTATTAAAAGAATTTAGGTTAGTAATAGTTGACTGAGAACTGAGTCAGCATTGTAAGTCCCTGATTTTCATGTAGGCTTTAAATACACACCACTACCACCACCCCAAATGACATCAGGCAGATATAACTGCGGAAAATGCTTAGCTTCTGTCAACAATACCAGATTGATAGCAGATGTAACAAAGCAAAATTCAGCTGCATGCCTTGTTTAGATTCTTCAGGTGTCAATTTAGAAAGGAGCCTGATATCATAGATCTGATCTCTTTTTTTTTTTTCACACATTGTGCAGGCTTGCTGCCACTGCTGAAGCTGGGGAGATGCACTGGAAGTTCTACTTCAAGCTCTACTGCTTCCTGGACACAGAAAATGTTCCAAAAGATAGCGTGGAATTTGCCTTTATGTTTGAGCAGGTAAAGAACAGAGGTTCTGGTTTGAGGCATTTTTAAGAGGAGTAAAAAAGCAAGAGATCTAGGCAGGACAGAGCGAGCTTGATTATGCTTCTGTTTAACTAAATGCACTACTATTCAACCATCAAGTGCAAATAAAGTAGTTCAGTGGTCAAAATAGGCTTATCCTGACACAAGCGAAACGCATATGAGTTACCTAGTGTTACGATTTTTCTTCTGTACTACTTGTGAATTGCTTTATGTATAGTGGTAGAAAATTGGATAACTGGGTCTAAGCCACATAAAAAAATAGGATACTACTTGCTTTTCATTTTGCTCTTACGGAACCATTTTCTTAAGAAAGTGCAAGAAATAAAGTGAAAAATGTGTAGTTGGCAAGCAAATTAATTATTAGAGACCCGTGCTGGCAACTGTACAGAATTAATTGAATAATAGTTTTTTCTATTTGAAATCAAAAGCTGATTTCATATATAGGCACCATAATAAAAGAAATCAGTCCAGTCTCAGCAGTAACTGTAAAATTGCTAGGATGAGCAGAAATCCACTTAATGTTCTGAGCTCAGGATGAGGACATACTGTAAAACATAAGTGAAATTGATTTATAATGAAAATTGACTGTATCAACAGTTCGATTTCTATTATATGAAGTCCTGTAGTTGCTCAAAAACTCTCACTGATGGCATTTACTACTGTTGACTGACCTTCTTCTATATTATATTTCAAATAGCTAAAAATTCTTCCAGTGCACAGCTTCTTTCAGGTGGGCACTAAGAACAGATAGTGATTTCTGTGTAAGGCTATTTGCAATGCCAAGACACTGATGTTCTGTTGGTAAGCAAGCCTGATGTGACCAAGAAATGACATGTTCCAATTTTCATGTGCCTGAAGCCTTGTTCCTTCCACAGGATCAGAAACATCTTGACTGTAATAGAGTATTCCTTGTTCACACTTTGGCTTTTCAGGCACCATATTTCATCATGAGTCTACCAAATGTCTTTTTCCAGAGCCTAATGCAGTAGCTCAATCCAGAACTGCTTATTGTTGGCTGAAAGATCTGGGCAATTTATTGCATTAGTTGGGCCTTAAAACATTGCCATTCTGACTGGCTGTTTTTACATAGAGAGGAGTCAGCCAGTTAATGCCTTTGCTTTGGGATGAAGTTCAAACAGCAAGAAGATCCATGAGAGCTCTGCATCAGATATTTTACATTACATTATTGGTTTAAGAGACGAATGTAGATAGTTCTCTGTGAACAGCTAAAACAAGCACATTCACTGAAGCAGACTGTTTTCATGCATGTTCTGACTACTATTTAGCCAAATACTTTGTCTTGCCAAGTCGATAGTATTTCAGTTATAAAGCATGGCACATTCAATCTCTACAATTAATATTATAGCAATAGCTTAAAGAGGTGACTTATTACATTCTGACATCAG